TTTATCTTTGAATATTTTTATACTTGTCATGAGTTTTCATGATTCAGAACATTAAAATAATCTGATTTATTGACTAAATTACAATTGTTTGAATGGTACTAATTTTTTTTATCACGATAGAGCATAGTCATGTAGCAGTATTTTTATTTACTTTGAGGAAATATAATCATTCATTATACATGCAATTAATAATTATTCAAAGTTTATATAAGTTGCCGGACATTTCGAATACCTTTGTTGTTGAATAAACACGAATTCTACTGTTTAATTGCAAATTTACTGTTAAAATGCTACGTATTTTATTTATTTTCAATCTAATAATAATTTTTAATTTCTTTAAATTCAACAAGGTATGATAAATCTTTTTGATTAAATATAAAATGTCGTTATTGAAAATATTTAATTATAAAATTTATCTAATTACAGGGAGAAATAAGTTTGGTTATGACTGACGTTGATGTAGAAGCCAATCCAGCCTACATTGCACCAGATTTTGAAGTATTTCTTCTAGATGATGGTATTGATAATCAGATTTTTGTAAATTTTACTGTTATTAAACTTCCACCAGAAACTGCTGAGGTAAATTTATTTCATTTCGAGCTATGTCATTTGGTCAAACATTCTGACGTTGAATATTATTTTGCTCATTGACAGTCACATTTTGAAATATTGGGAGCGACCATGGGTGAATACAAAGTTCGTACTGGATTTGAATATACTTCTCTACTGTGTGATGTAATAGACGAACCTATTATACTGGGTCGATTGGTGAGAAGCATGGGATTTACAGGTTGTCCTGCTAGACTTGTGAGTGATTGGTAGATCAGTTGATCTATTAGACAACTTCTGTATTATTTTATTCAATATACTTTAAAGTAAATTAGTTTATCGATTTTTTTTGTTGATTATGTATACAGGGAAACTACGGTAATGAAGCATATGAAATCGATTTGAGTACTCTTCCAGATGAATTTCCACCAAACAAATATATTTTACACGTTTGGTTAGATACAGATGATATCTCAATAGGCTCTTTTACTCTGTACTTTACGATACAATGAAAATGACCGAATTCCATGAAGCTAGAAAATGGCATCATATTCATTTTCTTATTTACATAAAATAAAATGTAAAATATTTATCAATAATAATAAAAGCAAGAAAAATTACTTCATTAGGGTATAACGAATATAACTGGATATTTTTCATGACTATGAACAGAAGTGAGAAATAAAATTTCTAAAATATTTCATCTATTGTTGTCATGATGGTACCTAAAAAATTATTACAATGATATAACTTCTATTATTTTATTTTTTCCTAGAGTACTTTTATTGTTGTTTATTATGTTTAATTGAAAAATAATCTACTATCTATGAATTTTCAAAGATGTATTAGATGTTAATCACTTGATTATTGTAGATAATAACAATGTAAACATTTTCACATCAAGGAAGTGAAAAAAATGCTACTATGAAAATAAAAATAATAACAACCCTTCGAATCTTATATAAACTAGTTGCTTCCGGCACAGAATTCAAGTAATAATATTAATCAAAAAGTATAACAATTGTTTTCATATTATACTGATAAAAATGAATAACAATCAGCTAAAAAAAATATTGTTTTTGATTTGTTCGAGTATTTTTGGCTTTTTTAACATTATTACCATCACTCAGGTATAAATGGTGAAAATCAATAGGATTTTTGTAATTAATATTTATATAACAATTTTTAAAATTTTAGGCAGAATTAAGTGTCGTATTTACAGACATTGATTTTTTTGCAAATCCAGTTTATGTTGCACCAGGTTATGAAGTATTTCTTCTAGATGAAGGAATTGACAATCAAATTTTTGTAAATGTAACTATAATAAAAGTTCCACCTATGGAATCAACAGTAAGCATAATTAGTATCATTTTAGTGAATATGAATGAATTCATTCAATGAAGCTATTCAATTTTTTTTTAGTCATATTTTCAAATATTGGGAGCAACTATGGGTGAATATAAAATAAATACAGGCTTTGATTATCATACTGGAATATGTGATTTAGCTAACGAACCTATTATATTCGGACGAATAAATGATCAAATGGGCTTAGGAGGTTGTCCTCCAAAAGTTGTAAATATTTTTTCTGTATATTACATGATGTCTTAAATGGAACAACTAATTTGTTTAATTTTTTTAAGGGTACGTATGGAAGTGAAGCTTATGAGATTGATCTCAGTACTCTCCCCGATACTTTTCCACCTAATAGATATGTCGTGAACGTCTGCATAGAAACAAATGTCGGTGAATTTGTGGCAAATGTTTCTCTTTATTTTGTTGTACAATAATTCAACTTAATAAAGTTCAATAAAAAAAAGATTACATTCTATAAAAAAATAATTCTTCATTATTATCCTAGATACATAACAAATATGCAACGAGTAAAAAATAAATAAATATTTTTTACTCGTTGTTTGTTACTGATAGAATCGAAGATATTTTCTGTTTGATTTCAATGTCGACATCTATTGTTCTGAAAAATAAGTAATTATTAGCTAATTATCATCACTTTTTTTCATTATGCGCAGATTTTAATAGTGTGATAAGATTTTTCTGCATAATAAATATTATAATTCATTAAAAAAATAAACAATAGTAGCTTTTCAAACATATATATGTTGTTCAAGCATTAAGTAATTATTATTTGAAATCTGTCATCAGGCATAGAAGTTAAGAATGCTATTGATTGCGTTTACTTTAGGTACATTGAATATTTTCCACGTTATTACTATCATTCAGGTATCATTAAAATTTGTATAAATTTTATGAAAAATTGATTAGTCTTAAAAATGATGACTTGACTTTTTAGGCGGAAGTAAGTTTAGTTTTTACAGATCTTGATGTGTATTTCAATTCAGAATATATTGCTCCTGACTATGAAGTTTTTTTGCTGGATGAAGGGATCGATAATCAAGTGTTTATCAATTTTACTTTAATAAAGGTGTTACCAATAGAATCAACAGCATATTTTAAAATGCTGGGAGCAACAATGGGTGAATATAAAATAAATACTGGGTTCGAGTTTCAATGTGGAATATGTGATTTAATAGATGAGCCAATTATATTTGGGCGGATGGTTAAAAAAATGGGCATGGGACGTTGTCCTGGTGAACTTGTAAGTAAAAGCAATGTTTAATTAACAATAAAGTAGAGGTATTAATATTTTTTTAGGGTGTTTATGGGAATGAAGCTTTTGAACTTGATCTAAGCACACTTCCAGATGAATTTGTTCCAAATAAATATATTTTGGATTTATGGCTAGACACAGATGATGGTGAAGAAAGAGTAGGTTCTATCCGACTATATTTCACTGTCCAATAAATTGAAAAATATTCAATAGAATATTATTATAAAAAATGATGAATTATATAATTTTTAACATCTAAAGCCTATAATAATAGCAATAAAAGTATTAAAAATTTAAAAGTATTTTTATTCAATAACCTTTTTCTTTTTCTAAATGTTTGCAGAAAATTTGCACCTAAAGTCATCTTCATTAAATTGATTTATTAAACTGTGAGTTACATGAAATTTAAATATTATCGAATTCTCATCAATATGTCACTCTTGCATAACAATAAATCTCTTCAGAATTTTTATGTTTATTTTTAATATTTGCAATAGCAAGCAATTATTATTAATTATCATCATCCTTTTTATGTGTTGAGCAGATAAAATAATTTTGATAATATCTTTTTACGTGATAAAAATATTATAATTCATAAAATAAATTAACAATAGTTGCTTCACATATATAAATATATATATATAAGTTGTTTAAGAGTTCAAGTATTGTTATTGCATGTGTTAACATCGAGTTAATTTTTTTCCGCAGAAATTTAAAATTTTAATAGCCAATAATAGCAATTTAAAATGCTTCTCAGTCTAATAATTTTGTTCTTTTTTCAATTGATCATTTTTACTAAGGTAATAGTAATTATCTATTGTTATTGTAAAAATTTATTCAAATTGATAATGATTTCGTTTTTTAGGCGGAAGTAAGTGTAGTTTTCACAGATATTGATACGTATTTTAATAAAAAGTATTTTGCATCAGACTACGAAGTATTCCTTCTCGATGAAGGAGTTGATAACCAAATATTTGTGAATTTCACAGTAATAGAGTTATTACCAGAAGCATCAATGGTAATTGGTTTTTTGTTTGTTATTGACTTTTATTTCATTTATTCATTATATTTTTTAGGTATATTTCAAAGTAGTAGGAGCGACAATGGGAGAATATAAAATAAATACTGGGTTAAATTTTGATCGTGCATTATGTGATCTACCAGAGGAGCCAATTTTATTTGGCCATTTGTTACGTAAAATGGGTATGGAACTTTGTCCTGGTAAACTTGTAAGTAAAAAATAATTTTTAAACTTTTTTATCAAATATAAATATTGACAATTTTTTAGGGTAATTATGGAAATCAAGCTTTTGAGGTTGATCTTAGTACACTTCCAGATGAATTTACCCCAAACAAATATGTCGTGGATGCGTGGGCAGAAACAAACAATGACGATAAATTATGCCACATTCGCTTATATTTTACAGTACAATAAATTTAAAAATAATTGTTGATAGTTTCTAGATATAAATAAATATGAAAATATGAAGCAGAAACTATTCAAGTATCCATTTATACAATAATCAAAAAAAAAATTACAAAATACTTGTAGTTCATTTTTAAAGTCCACAATATTAATGTATCCGAACTTACGTAATAAATTATATAATGACTGATGGGTCATTGCGCAATATATCATGTTCATTTTTTCATTATTAAAAATTAAGTTATTGAATTATTAGAGGATACTGTAATGATAATAATTAATTTTTTATCTCTATACAGAATAATATAGTTAATTATATTATCCAGGAAGTGAGATCCAAAGAAATTATTACTGATAATTATTACACCTATTTCGTTTAATATTTCATTCGATATTGTTCAGTATCACCGTAGACAGTAAATTTTGTAATTTTTAAAGGAATAATGAGAATATTTTGGATTTCTACGATTATTTATATTGTGCAAATTCTTACAATATGTCAGGTATGTTTTTTTAAACAAATCAATAATAAATTAACATCAAATACTATTTTGACATTTGTTAATCTCTTCAATATATACACTTTTTTTCAGTCTTCAATGGTTATAACAATAACGGATGTAACTTTTTTTTGTGATCCAGAGTTTTGTTCTGATGAGTCCAAAGTTTATCTGGTTAACAAAGACATTAAGAATGAAGTATTTTCAAGTTTAACATTGGTAAAATCTTTACCAAATTCGTCAAAGGTAAATTTTGACATTAAGTAGGTTAAAAGAGTTTGAGTTATAAAAATATTTGTAAGGAATTTTATTTGTGTTAGGCACATATAGAAGTACTTGTAGAGACTGATGGTCAATATCAAATACTTAATAACATCGATCAATGGATGCCAATGTGTGATTTAATTGACGAGCCTGTTTTGCTAGGGAAACTCTTTAGAAACATGGGTTTTAAAGGATGTCCTGTAGACCCCGTTAGTATATCAACTATTCATTATAATGATTAATTAATTTACTTTTTTATTCAGTTTTCATTTTATATACGTTTATTTTTATTTTTTCTTTAGGGTGTTTATTCAAATCCGTCCTATGTAGCAGTTCCAGTTTCAGAGTCAAATTATCCACCAGGAAATTACATGTCCAGACTCCAAGTAGAACAAGAAAATAATAAATTAATATCTTCGCTTGAAACGAAATTTAAAATTGAATAAATGTTACATGATAATGAGCATCAATCGAAGTAAACATTTCAAAAATACAAAATAATTGTCACTCGATTAAAAATAATCAAAAATCACAAAATTTTTTTTTTAATATTTCTCATCTATCCTGTAATCAAATTTTTTATTCAAATATCATTTTTCAAAAGTTATGTAAATTTATAAAAAAAAATTAACAAGCCAAAAAGGTTGAAATTCTAATGAATATTTACACCTTACTTCACTTGGGTAACTTCTTACCATACTTGTTAAAGGTTTAGTTTTTCTTTATAAAAAAAAAAGGCATAATCTATCCTGTGAACGACTTAATAGCATGTTTTCCTGTAGCTATTTATAGGTAACGCAACAGGTTACCGCCCACGTTTCAGGAACCAGTGAGGTTCAATCCAAGCAAGGGCGTTTATATACGAGATCGTTGGGATGATTACGCCAAAGGGGTACGGACATTTTTACCAATAATGAATTATATACCTCACCCTTTTGCTGTGAATATATCAAATAGCACACTTGTACTCTCAATAGTATTGCATTAAAAGGGGGAACTTGAATAGGTAGTTGTCTATGTCGAGTCTACGCCTCTGCATTACTGGTATTGTAGAATGTTGAACATCTCCTGCTGGGTATGGACCAAGAGCTTGTACCAACAGTGTAATTATCTTTGAACTAAATTACGAGACACTTTTTTTTGAAAGATATATTTAGAATGATTATAAATATCCACCTGACACTTGTAATTTTACTGGACTATCATTAAATTAGACTCCAGCTGGTACATTTGATGAAATTTTAGCATAACATGAGTGTTTAATTACAGGATAACTCTCAAAATAGAATAGATATTAATAATAATGTTCTTGCAAGTCGAATGACCTTGAAATAATAAAAGATCCATCTAATCACTTAAAAAAAAACAAAGTAGTTTTATTGGAGAAATTTTTTTAAAGTTTTCTAAAAGTAGGGTTGTATATAACATTTACTGTCGTAATTATTAAATAAATATTTTTTATCAATCTGTTTTTAAGCAACTATAAAAGGTCTATTTTTATATGGTATTTATGTGTAATATATGGACTCTCCCTTTTCCTTGGGCCTTCGAATCAGCTTAATTATGCCCTTGCGAGATAATCCGAAGATAATTCAAGTAAGATATGGAATAAATATATGAGAAGGAAGCAAAGAGAAAAAGAATGAAAAATAGTCGATTAAATATGTTTCTCTTTCGTCTTTTATCTTTGGAGCAGGATAAATTCCTTATGTTAATTGTGTGCCATTTTTTCATTGCTTCTGAGAGCAGTATATAAAAGGACACTCCCTGCAGATTCTGAAAGGAGACCAAACACCTGGTTGAAAAACCGATTCCAATATGTAAGGTGGAAGATGAGTGAGACAATTAAAGAGTTGTGTATTAGGGAATGAGGTTTCGAAACGTTTGTTTTTATTTTAAAAATTTTGAAGGGCCCAAAAAGTCACACACTTTCGACCTGAACACGTGTGTTTTCCTGCCATATTTAACTGTAGGGTGCCGTTATTCAGAACCAAGGTAAAAATTTATGTATTATATACTGTCGAATATATTATTACACTCTGATCTTCTTTTCATATTTTATTATTATTCGACATCACAATAACAAGTTAAAAATTCAGTCTCCCGAAAAAATCCTACTAAACTTTGTAATAATTTGAGAAAAAAAAAACTAATTGAATATTTATTTTTCAACTTGAGTGAATCAATTATTATGGAAATAAATGATTATCGTAATGTCGACATCTACCTGTCGAGTAAGAATGATATTTATGTTAAACTGTATTCGAAAATATAATCAACTATTAAATACTTAAAAAAAAAATATTAAATTGATACAGAAAGTTTGTTTAGCAAAGAAAAATTCATGAAAGATCAAAGTCCTTGAATAATCAATTGACTATCATGTCATATCGAGTATAATGACTTAATTGATGTAGTTCCATAGACATGTTACTTATTGGTTTATCAATCTCATCGATTATTCTTGTTGGCTAGCTGTTGCTTGTATAAAGCACCGAAGAGGATAAAAGATTCCTTAAACAAGTTGACAAGTACGTTGGGGAATCATTGGTGTGGATATGTACATATATACATATTAAATATACACAATATCACAGCCATACTTCTTCTCAATCTCGATCATCACGGTATATAAATTGTATAAATAATCTTGGTGAATTGCGTATCCGCTTGTTAACGAAGACGTTGTCGTATTTTATTCCATCTTTCTTGTGCTTATTTATTAGAAGAATGACACATAAAAATTAATGATTGATTATATGTATAAAATTTCAAATCAATCTTGCTTAATTAATTCGATCGATTAATCACTACCAGTATAAATAACTTGCATAGGAATTTTAAATTGTATTGATAATAATCATAAGTGATTCAGAAGAGGAAATGTTTAAATTCGTTAAAATTCAGGACGAGATGCTGATTTAAATTAAATCTTGTCCTTAGACTCTCATATGCTCTGATTGAAGAAAGAGTAGAAAAAAATGTTCTTTTTTTTCATCAAATTTGATGTAAGAACTTTTGAAGAAATGTGGGAGCATTAAGTGTATGCAAAAAAGAAGTGAGTTCTGAGGGTGCTTTTACACCAGTGTTTAAGAGCACGCCAGTAGCCAAAGTAGAATTGATCGGATCCACAAACAGGATCATCATTCACTCCCTTGGCACTCTTTACTTATTCGACCGTTATGCATTCGCTCCAATTTTCTCTTTCGGTAATATGCCTCGGGTGTATTGTATGCGATTGAACTGGCAGCAGCTCATAAATTCATCTCACAGGCTGTCTTGATACGATCCCTTTTATATGCCAACTCACCCTCTTTATCATTCCTTAAGCCAAACTCACGGTAATTTTTTTCAAGTGGTCTAGAGGCAAAAACGTTTCATCTCTTTCCACAAAAAAAATGGAATAGCCAAAGATTAAAATGAAAACACGAAAAAGACGAAGCCAAAGAAAAAAAAAGAGAAGAAAAAGATGCACGTTTCTTACACACGACCCCCACGTTCCGAGCACGCTTGAACAAAAATACACTTACGAGCTGCTGGAATGAAGGGCACACAGAGGGAGAAAGGGGGAAGATAGGGGAAAGCAGGCGTGATTACGGAACTGAGGGGTAAAGGTACACAACACGAAGGACTTAGGCGAGATGTAAGACATCAGAAAGAAGGGAAGGAGGGTCGCCTCGAGACCGGCACGAGGACAGGTGGCGATGGGGAACCAGGGAACCTCGAAGCCACCGAGTTCTCACGCGCGAAACTCCAGCTGCCACTATGCGTACTCGTAATGCCTATAGATGGATGATGAGAGTGAGGGAGGAGTGGAAAAGGGAAGGGCACCCTTCAGTGGCAACACACACCCGCGCTCTACTACTTCTTAGAGTACGATGATTCACATGTGTGGATTCTAGGCTCCTCATACGCATGAATGCATGTCTTTTGCAGAGTAATGCGCACCGGATTGCGCTTCTGTACGCATAGTAGTACAACGCATTTGCATTAAAAGAATGGAACGAAGGAACGAGAATCGACAGATGCAAGTGCGGTGGGTCAGGAATCTAAATATTGTAACTGAAGCAACCGGACGCCCCATGCACATTCTCTTACCCTTTTTGCCATTCATACCCATGACTTTGAGAGCTCGTTGGTCAATGGACTCGACAAAGACAAACTCATTGCTGCTTGTGTGTACATCCACCAAAGACCGTTGCGAGGGGTCAGTTCTACGCAACAATTGCCCTCATTCTCAATGCATGTCGTGGGGGATTAAATGATTCTTTAGGGTAATGCTAATTTATGACTACCAATATGGTGACTGGTAACTGAAATCAGTGATTAGAGGTGCCTCTTATTACTAAAAATATGCCATAACTTTTCTACATAATGAAGAAAGAATAACGATTATGACTACTTTTTTTTCATCCAAACCTAAAAAAAATTTCTTTACCATTTATTTAAAAATATAATTGGAAAAAAAATTAATAATTATCCGAAAGAAGTTTATTGGAAAAAGATAATTATGAAGACCATTGTTATTTATGAAGAACAATATTTTAAATATATGTGATAACTAAATGAACATATTTTTGATATACAATGTAAAAGATATAAAATGGTCAGATGAAAAATTCAAAAAAAAATTACCAGCAATCCTTAAAAAAATATTGTTAAAAGAAATATTGTTATTTTTAATTCTATGAAGCACCACAAATGATTGATTGAAAGCGTCCGAGTGATAAAAGCAAAGAATAAATTATATAAAAGCCGAATATTGATTGAATAAGTCTATAGTTGTATCCTTACATATAACAGTTACATGTTTCAATGCCTTCATAACGAATATTATGTATCAAAGTAACAGTTCTTCTGACGTATTCTATTTCGATTGGTGTTTCATATTATTATATCCTGAGTGGGTTTGGTAGAGGGCGAGGTTTGCTGATGTAAAGAATATCCAATTCACTATCTTTTAGATACACGACACCATAGCAACTGTATTATACTGTTATGTATGTATTATTTCATCTCCTTTCAATTATCAAATAGTTCCGAACACAGTTATCATATAATGATGCTACATTTCATCCAAAAAAATAACATCTATTCAAATAGAATACATCTCATCATGAAGCTTTTATTTCCATGATATAACAAAGGTGTTGTGGAAGTTCGAATCAATTAAAAACGTCTTTTTCATAAACTGAAAAAACCGATTTAACGTTCGATAACAATTAAATATAATAAATTTGTTGATACAGTTAAACTGGACGAAATACTTCAGACAAGAAGGTCATCACGATTCTTCATGCTTCAATCTCAAATATACATAGACAGGTAATTAAAAAAAAAAAATGATTTAAACTTCGGGCGATTCTGCAACAGGTTTGCTTTATTTTGGACTTATTCGTTAAAAATATAATCAAACGTTCCTTCCTCCTTTTGGATCCAGTTCTAC